ATTATGATAATTTGATCCTTTAAACAAATGATAATTTACAATTAGTTGTGATCTTTTAACTTGTTGATCAGTTGTTTTTGCAAATGATATATAGTACAGATTAATGGTAAAAAAAAAAAACAACGGAACACATTGAACACCAGTGGGAAATTAAAAACAATTTAAATGATTAATCAAAATTTTAAATAAGAAAGTGATGGATGCCATGCCACTGTGCATCAATCTCATTCCCAAAATGCCCTTATAAGGTCGGCGGCGTTCTGCCAGTATTAGATGCATTAGTTTTGCATGGTATTTCCAAACACTTTACCCCTGCCCGCCGGGCTGCCCGTAGCCCAACTCACTGAGTCAATATAATGTCCATGCCACGTCGACAAGTAGTAAAAGTGAGCTTCCGGGAAGGTCCCAACTTCCAAGCCCAACTATAAAAACGGAAGAAATTGTCTAAAATTCTTGCATCTTTCTTTATTTTCTTACCAAGCTCTCTCTCTCTCTCTCCCCCAAACAAGAAGGAAATTAAAGCATGGCCAGAAACACCAAAGTGTTTGATATTTGTTCGCCATTTTCCGACAACAACAATAGTACTATGATTGCGAAATCATTTGTGACTACTCCGCCGGTGAGAGGAGCGGTCAAACGCCGGATTATGTCTGCCTTGTTTCTCCTTCTTAAGAATGCTTTCCTCTTCTCTGTCCGTTGGTTGGGAGGAAACTAATTAAACCCACTTAATTAGTGCTCGTTCTGCTCCCATAATCTTATTTTTCTTTTTTCTTTTTTTTTTTGTTTTTTTTTGTTTTTGTGATGTTTATTTAATGAGACCTTTAGTGATGCATAGGCGGGGTTGCTCTGTTCTGGGGTTGCTTCAGAGCGGCGCCGCCACCTAAAAATAAAATACGTGCTGTTGTAGTTCCAATTTCCAAATAAATATATGTGTAGATCTTCAATATTACTATTAGTCACATGATTATTTAATCCAATATAATTATCTATTTAATATAACGACTTCCTCATTTTTTGCACCAATCATGACATATTGTTTATGTTGCAACACTTGGGCAGAACATATTGTAAATAAATACCCTTTTTGCCCCTTCTCTGACTTAAAGATTAGACGATTTGACTCTGTTTTGACATTGGGCCTGAATTAATATTTATTTTGGGCCCAACAAATTTGAAAAGGCCCTCTTGTGGCAATAATTATAATATTATGGATGAAGATGATTTTATGTTCGAAATTTAATTATAGCATTACGTGTAATTTCTTACACATGCCTAGTTGACTACATAACATGGCAAATGATAAATAAATAAATCTGATACCACTGGGCCGAATTTCCCATACTCAAAGTTATTGGGCCAAAGCCCAAATGACGGTAGAAATTAGGCCCATTGTACCAAGGCCCAATGAATAAATAATGAACGAATAAATAGATCTTAAAATAGGAAATTGCCGTATGCAATTATCTATATAAACGAATGTGTAAAAAACCTATTAGGGTTACGATTAATTTATCAATACAAATACTCTCTTTTAGTGTTATTTTCTTGTCGCCCAGTAGATCTTCTCCGGGCTTTATCAGGCGTTAGTTAGACTTTCCGACGACTAGGGGAGTCGGGTTTGGAAGATAAATGTATAGCATGATGTTTTGAACACTACATTGTATGGTGTGGGCCCATATTTC